TTTTAATAATTAATTTTATTATTATTAATATTATTTAATATAGTTTTAAAATACTTTTAAAACTTTTAAATAATATTAATTATATTAAAATTAATTATATAATAAAGATTCTTAAAGATATTTAATAATAGCTATTAAATAGCTTAAAATATAATATAATAAAAGTATTATAAATAAAGGACTATATAATACTATAAAGAGAAGAAGTTTTAATAAAAGTCTAATAATTATAAGTATAGTTAATATTAATAAATAAGTAATAATTAATAATATTATTTATTTACTTTAGTTATTATAAAATAATTAAAATAAATAATTAATAACTAAATAGAGTAAGCCCTAAGGGAGTATACCCTAAGTAATCTTAGGGACTATATATATATATATACGTATTAAGGTATGAGAAGCCGTAAGGCACAAATAGGTGCCGTGACTGCGGGCGTAGGAGGATAATGAGGAGCATTCTTTTTGCCCCTCTCCGCATCTCTATTGCTTCTGGAAGACACGAAGAAGGAATGGATCATGGATCTTGGGCGATTGCGCAATGTGGATTGTAATCTGCGATCAGAGAGGACGGAGCCATGTTTGCCATGATGTTGTGATGACCAATGTGGGCAAATGTGGGTTCCATTCCGTGCGTGGCAGGCCGGTCCCAGTCCCCGTGGCAGCCTGTGCGAGGCGAGGATCGGCAGAGTGAGGCGAGGGCGAGGGCGACAGGCACGTCGAGTTTGTGTGTTTTTGAGACGCAATTGCATTTTCTGACTTGAGTGCCGAGACGATCATGGGCAGAGTTGGCATGTTGGCAATGCTGTGTTTGCAGGCGGAAGAGGTGGCGGGATACAGAGCGATCGTAGCACTGGCGTACTAGTATACTGTAGCAGAGCAAACGGATGCAGACAGGTTGTGAGTTGAGTGTGTCCGTTTTCCGTTATGGCGAAGATGTGCGACTTGGGAAAAGGAGGAGGCTGGTCGGAATGGAGTCGTGATTGGTTTCGGTGGGCTGAGATAGAAACGGGGATTGATGAGGTAAGAAAATGGATAGTGGTGCCCTATGATGCATGATGGTGAGACAGGGTGGTCGGCTGCAGACCAACATCTGGCGATGAGATTGGCGATTGAAGACGGAAAGGAATGAGGCACCTTATCGTCCGTACCTTACCTTGTGAAGGAATCTTGTTGTGAATGGAGACAACGGAGCAATGATAGGTAGGGACGGCGCAACGCAGATTTTTTTTCTCCTTGGGTAGGTCGGTATTCGTAGGTAGCTTCTATTGGTATCCATTGGCACGTAGGTTAAGGTAGGGACGGAAGGAGGTGAAGGCGGCTACGGCTACGGCTACGGCTGCGGCGCGCCGGTCGGTGGTTCCTTCCCAAAATTGTTTCGACTGTGAACCTGGAAGGAAGGTTCCTTTTTGCTAAGGTCCATACGGGCTCGGCGTCACCTTCGCTCTTGCCCCCCCAAAAGACTCAAGAGCCCTTACCCTGGCATGGCCTAGCCTGATTCCGAAGGAATGGAAGGCTGGAGGCTTGCAGCTGGCGCGGCGCGGCGTGGTGCTCGCTGCTGCGTTGGGGACACTGGAGAGTTGGGGTGGTGTTCCCTGCAAACCCTGTTCCCAGCTGTTCCAGTAAGAATGCCCGGAGCCAAGCTGGGGACCCCCTTAGTGACCCTCTCGAAGCCTTCCACACTTTCGATCGATGTTCGAGAAGCCGGCCAGAAGACCGGGTGCAGGGTCTTTTCCTTGTCTTTTCCTTGTCTTTTCCTTGCCTTCCACCTTCCACCTTCCACGTCCCCTCCCCTCGCACGAACAGGGCAATATCCATCTTGCGAGTGTGACCGGGGCCGGCCTGCAGAGATTAAGTTCCTTCCATTACCGTACTTTGCAGTGTACCCGTACCAAGTAGCGGCGCGGCAGCAACACAAGCAGCAAGCAGCAAGCAGCACTGCAGATGCACTTCACCGGTGTTTGGTTTGGGTGTCACTGTCCTTCACCAAGCTACCAAGCTGAGTCTTCAATTTCCCCGTTCCATCGCGAAAAGAACAGACGCGGCGTCGCCGTTGTTCCCAATGGCCCGCATCTCGCATTCTCTCTCGTCTTTCCCAAACCACGGAGAGAGACGCCGCAGCCGCAGACGCAGACGCAGACGCAGCCATCATCGACCCATGGCTGTCTGATTTTGATTCTGAGTCCGATTCCGACCCTCTTTCTGAGTCTTCAGCACCCCATTACCGAAGGAAGGCACCGAAGGTAGGTAGGTACAAAGTACCGCACCGTAACGTAGGCTCGTAGGTAATTTACCTCAGTAATTAGTGCATCTGCATCTGTACAGGTAATTCCCCGTCCGTGTGAGATGCTAGCCAGCTTTAGAGCCCGGCTCTCAGCCCTTTCACTCAAGACAGCTGTCGGTCGAATCCATCCCACATTGTCCGTCGATTCGCCTGCTCTGTTTTCATTTTTTTGTCCGCGATAGTGGATGGGCCTTTCGCAACCTGGAACCCGGATTACATGTTGACCCTTCGTACCTCGCCTTATCGCATCTTGGCCTTCCAACATTCGCTTCCTGGCCCTCGCCCTGACTGTTGCCCTGGCCTCTCTGGTTCGACGGCGTGAATCTCTGTCGCTGCATTCAGTGGCTCTTCCATACCAACGCCCGCTGTGTCTTGGATGACGGCGTACCTTACATTACCTTGCCTACCTACCTTAGTACACTGGGAGTTGAGGGTAGAGAATAGACTCACGGCGACAGAGGATTACTTGGCCCGCCAAACTGCAGGCCGAGGGATCTTGCATTGCCTTTGCTTCACCTCGATTGCATTGTCGAGGTCGAGTTCGAGGCCGAACAATACCTGATTGCATCACATCACATTACATGGCACCTCTCTGCATCGCATCTCGGTCCAGCACAGAGCAGCACGATACCTGAGCTTCGTTGGCGTCTCTCCTCGGCATCTCTAGACTCTCTCAACCTATACGAGCCTTTATTCTTTGAGGGCATCTAGCCCGCCTTTCCTATTCCTATTCCTACTTTGGCTCGTCTCCTCCGTTCCTCTCTACAGACTGCGTGCATCCATCTATTTCCCTTCCGGAATACTCTGCACGCCAGCAAAGCTTTGGCTTCTCATCTACACACGCCCGGGCACTCATTCGTACTCGTACTGTAGTACGCACCAAGTTACGCTCCCAGTGACTTACTTGCCTTTCTCATCATACCCAAGGCACGTTGACGTTGGTTGACCTTGGGTAGCTTGGTACGAATGCCTCCATCACCTGCCTCGTCGCCCAAGTGAATCATCTACCTTACATCGAGTACGGTACCGTACCTTGGATGCTACCGAGTACACACCACCCAAACCTCACCTCGCACACCATTACCTGCACCAATCCAACCCGCATTCGCCAATCTCTCGCCCATTCCTCGCTGTCGTCAACCTCTCCTCTTCCTTCTCCTCTTTCATTCCCAACTTCTCCCAGCCAACATCTTCGGAAATATCCAAAAGGGCGCCTGCATTACAGATACACGTCCATCTGTCTACCTACCTACCTACCTACCTACCTACCTACCTACCCTCCCACCTGTCCTTGAATCTTGCTCACTTATTTGCCTCCCTCACTTACTCAGTCACGCACTCAAGTCCGTCGTCAGTTTTGCCACGACCGAGGGAGAGGGAAAAAAAAAAGAAGGAACAAGTAAGTGTTGCTGCAAAGATTAGTCGCACTCCTCTAGCTTTCTCTTGAGCTTCCGTGCTGTTTCTTGTTTTGTGCCGCCTTGCTTTGTTGGGCAAAGTATGTAGAGGGAAAGGGCAAGGCGAGGAAGAAGCTCGGTCTGTTCTGTACTGCTTCTGGGCCACTGGGGGCTTCCCCCTCCTCCTCCCGTCCAGCTCCTCCTCTTTTTTTCGCGCGCGCCTCCCGTCCTCTTCCTCCCTCTCCCGCCCTGCCTCTTTCCAGGCAATAGAGCCACAGCAGCACCAAAAGACACCGGCAGTGGGCAGTTGACACTGAACACTGGACACTGGACATTGCCAGTCTCACTCACACACACACATACACACCTCTACACCTGGACCGCACCACACCACTTCGCACCTCTCACCCCCCTTGCTTAACAATTTCCATTCGTACTCGAAATCCTGGCCCATTCCCATCCATTGTACTTTCTCTCCATCCTCCCGTCCCAGCTACCTGACGGGTCTGTCTTCTCTTTCCCTTCTTTTCCCACCTCACGCCCGTTCGTCCCAGCCCTGTTGTTGTACGTAGCCCGCCCTCATGATATCACGTCTTTTGTCGTCTTCGTCGTCGCTGCTTGTTTGTGCTCAGTTCTCCTGTCGTCCATCTTCCGCTCTCCCCTTCGTATACTTGTCTTCTGTCCTCCACTAACCCGACGACTCGGTTGCTGCCAGCAGCATAGAGGAGCCTCCACCTTCGTCTCGAGTACGGTACCTGCACAACCAACTTTCCGCGCGACGGTACCCGCAACTGCGAAACGACAATCCCCTCCCTTTTACCTGCTGCCCCCCCGTGCAGGTCGAGCGAGGTCGAAGTTGATCACGTTCTACCTCCCATGATCGTGGTAGGAAAGGCGCCCCAGCATTCACTTCGATGCCCACTGTGGTGACCACCACCACAACCACCACCACCACCTCCTCCTCCTTCTCCTCCACGACAATTGCGCCTCTGTTTTAATCGCGTGCGCTCGGGCGTTTGCCCTGGATGAGAACCCTGCCCGATAACTCGAATTCGCCTGCGTCTCAATTGTCTCGATCTCTTCGCCCGCAACCCCCCCGATATTCTCTCCATTGCGCCAGACTGCGCATCTGCTGAGATAACGCAGGCGTCGCGCCGCCGTGCTGCTGCGTCACTAGGACTGGGTCGCCGTCCTCGAATTGTCCCGCTGCGGAGCCCTCCGGATCGCCATTTTGTGCCATCGCATCGTCACGCTTTACCTCCCTCGCCCTTGTGGCCAGAGCGCTCCGGTCGCGAGACTGGTTGCTCCCCGAAGCCACGATGGACAATGCTACTTGCCATGTCGTCTACGTGAACCGTCAGGTTCGCCAGGACAGGCTCCTCCGCAATAATGCAAATGACGCCCACTTGTCCAATGGTGCCGCGACTGACGGCGAGATTGAAGACATTCGGAAGGATGCTGCTCTGTTATTGGAAACCTTTGGCGAAGGTACGCTTCAATCGGGTCCGGCCACTCAAACACCCAACACTGACTTGTCTGCTAGTTTATCTCTGTTCATCAGGCTCGGCGTGTATCTCGACGCTTTTCCAACTTTCGGATGAGTCCATGATGGACCTCACGCCGACTCTTGTCCTTATCGACGTCCCCTACGACGAGCGTTTACCCAAGTTCCGGTCGAAGTCTAGGTCGCCTTCGCCGCACTCACGCCCGACCACCGCCGACGTCGATATCCACACCCCGGAAGAGGAGGTCTATGGCCTCAAGTTGATGCAGAGAGTCATGACCGAGGCCCACCTGCGTAGTATAACCAAGCTCATCGTTCCGATCCCCATCGTTAGCTTCTCTTCGCTCGAGGCTGCCCACGACTTTAGCCAGACCAACGGCGGAGCGATTGATGAGGCGAAGACGAAATCCCCCCCAGCCGTAGATCGCCGATTGATCATTCGATGTCTCGACCTCGGTGCCGTTGATGTTATCATCAGTCCTTTACACGCTAAATGCATCACAAGTCTAGAGATCCATGCTTATCGTGCGCACAAGGATGCGGCGAGGGAGCAGCAGGAGATGATGGAAGTCAGGAGGGGTAGGAAGCGCTCATGGGTTGGCGTCAACGAGGAGAAGCCGTTTGCGTATCTTAGGGAAGCCATGGTATCCGGACTTATGAGGGGTATCTGCCGCTCTGGCGCAGACTCGGATGATGATCGGATCTCCAACGTCAGCATCGCCGTATCCACTGATCGCCAAGCCGCTGTTGCTGCCGCGGTTGGCCAGTGGCACTTCTGTGCCCACAGCTGGTCAGACGACGAGCTGCTTGTGGCAGCCATGGTTATGTTCAAGCATGCGTTGACCATGCCAGAGTTGGAACGTTGGCGGATACCGACAGGTCAGTACCCGGCATCCAAGCGTGTTGTCTCGACTGCTAACAAAGCAAAGATCAACTCATCAGCTTTCTGGTTGCCTGCAGAGCCGCATACAACAACTTTGTTCCATACCACAACTTTCGACATGTCGTGGACGTTCTCCAGGCCACATTCCACTTCTTGGTCCGCGTCGGCACTCTGGCCCCATATCCTCTCGACCCGCTGGGACATGAGGAGGTTCCTGAGAAGTCACCGATGGCGAGCCTGCTCCATCCCTTCGAAGGCCTCACCCTCTTGATCACAGCAATAGGACATGATGTGGGACATCCGGGTGTCAACAACGGCTTCCTCGTCACTCTCAACGCCCCGTTAGCCCAGCTGTACAACGACCGTTCTGTACTCGAATCATTTCATTGCGCCGCGTATTCTCAGATTCTCCGAAGATACTGGCCAGCCGCATTCGAGGACACCAAGATGAGGAACCTGATGATTAGCTCCATCCTCGCTACGGACATGGGTCTGCATTTTGACTACATGAAGAAGCTTGGAGACACCCAAGACAGGCTGAACGAGAGTAACACAACGGACGGGTGGAATGGACGAATGCTTGAGGAGCAAAAGGCACTCGCATGCTCGTTGCTAATCAAATGTGCAGACATCAGCAATGTGGTAAGTTCAACACTTCAATGTCTACCGCAAGCATTATAATAACATCACGTACTAGGCCAGGAAACACGAAACGGCTCTGAAGTGGATGCACATACTCTCAGACGAGTTCTCGCGCCAGGCTTCGATGGAGAGCGAGTTGGAAATCGCCTCTTCTCTCCTTGCGCCTCCAAAGAAAGACCTAATGTCGCTTTCCAAGGCTCAGTTAAGTTTCATGAACATGTTCGCCATCCCGCTCTTCCAAGGAGTGGCAGACATCCTACCTGGGATGACGTATACGGTCGATGAGCTCGAAATCAATAAGGGCCTGTTTGAGCAGCGCATCCGAGATGAGCAGGCCAAGGAGGACCCCGTCCGAAAGCGACTTCTCCGTGACGGCGCGTTCTCTCCGCGAACTATGAGTTTTGCGACTGCCCCGGAGAGCAACAGGAGCTCCATGACCCCTCGGGTGTCTACGCCCTTGGCTGAACTTGCAACACCGCTTTCGCTGTTGGACGAATCGAAGTTCGAAGACAAGGAGTTATCTCCAGAGCCGGCCGATCCGGTGAATAGGCCTTCGCACGTGCCAGATACCCCCGATGATTACAAAGAAGTCAACGGCATCGTCACATCGTTTGACTCGGTGGCAGATTTTGCGGCTAGCGATCCCTTTCGCTGCAGAGACAGAGCAAGCAGTTCCCCCGATAACCACCACGGCCACAATGGCAAACAGCGTTGCAGCGAGACCACAGACGGAAGCATTACAGGGCCGTATGCTGGAGACTGGGCTTCGCAGGCCACCAGCGCTACGACGGGCAAAATGCCTCTCTCTCCGAGCACTCAGGGCACTAGCATCGTTAGTAGGGAGTCTACGGAGCAGCTGCCCGGCGTGCCCACGATCTCAGAGCCCAAGCAGTTTGGCGAATCCAAACCGGAGCCCCCGATGCTGGACCAAGAGGCCAACGTCTCTTACATTTCTCAGGGAAGCTGCAAAGCAGATGGGGCAAAGGTTGTGAAGAAGAAATCTAGCAGATTCCGGATGAACGCGTTTGGGCAATTTTTCCGACGGAACAGGGCGTCAAGCCCTTCGATGTCGGCCGCTGACACAGCTGGTTGATGGCATCGGAGCGGATCGAATCTGCCCGAGTATTGTGACCACTCGAACGTGGTCGCAACCAGGCACAGGGGGACTAACTACACCCATGGCGGTTCGCACAGCAGTCCCGGTAGTCGATATACCCTCAGCACTGTTCTTAATCTAGCAACGATTCGAGATGACCGGGACTGCTGGGGACACGGAATGACTTGTAAAGCGCAGTATACGGGCCTCGCTATATATGTAAAGTATCGAAGACGGAGTTAATGCTTTGGGGATTTGGTGTTTCGCCAGACAAAGGCGCGGTCAAGGGGAGACACGGCCACGCTATTCATGACCTGAATGGAAGGGCCCTGTGGCCTCGGAAGGCTCACGGCATCAGAATGGGCTGGACTAGAGGGGGCGTTTCCGGGCAGGTCAGCAGGCTGTTACGATAGGGCATTGGGATGGATGAGGATGGTCTGATATCGAAGGAGGAGGGCGGGCGGTGCCTTGTTTTGATAGGGCCGCGAAGGCTTATTATTGAACCGGCGGCGGCAGATGTCAGGAGGGCGTACGGCTAGAAAAGGCTGATGGCCCGTGGTAGATGAATACAAATCCTGACCAGTTCACGATAGTGGTCGCTCAACCAAACAATGAGGAATCACCGCAGGGCAGTTTTGACTAGCCAGTGTCGCTTAGCATTCAGTCTTGGGCTTGGCAGCGGAGACCGATTTGAGGCCTGGGCCGAGCAAGGGGATGCAGGAACTGACGTCGACGCGCATCCACTCCCGGTGGGAAGCGGTTGCAGGCATTCAGGGATCAGCATCCCTATGCCGCAGCAGCTTGACTACCTAGACAGTGGTGGTACGAATCAGTTGGAAACAGCACAAGACGACGAGGGACCGGAGGCATGGGACGACAGGTTGATGGCACCGAGTCTTTCACGTGGAGGTCAGCGGGTGGTACGTCTCACAAGGTTTGGCCGCAGAGGTTCTCTCGCCAAGCGGAGTCTGGGGATAAGATAGGTAGGCTAGGCTGATGGCGGCTACGTCTATGTTATGGAATTGGGATTATGTGTGCGCATTTGGTGAGATATTGCGTTCGGTGGAGTCAAATTGGGGTTTTCCCCCCTTCTTACAATCTCGACGTCGGTGTTCGATTAGATTTGGGAATAAAGTCTTGAGAAATCCGCTGCTTTTCACCAGTGTCCTGTTGCTGACACCAGTAGCAGCAGCAGCAGCGTTTGTGCCTGAGTTGCTCCGTTACGGCCGCCGCGAATCGGAATGCACGATACGCTTATCAGCTGGGGATGGAAAGGAAGAGTGGATCCCCTCAATGTGCTGAACACAGCACCTGAATGGCTGTACCTGACCTTTGTACCTGGCATGACGCAGACCAACCCGAGGAAGCAGGGCGAGCGACAAGTCGGCGCGCGGCGCTTGGTCAGACATACACTAACACATTGACACCTGTCGGGAAGCAACAAAAAGTTAGTGAGTCTACAACAGGCAGGTTCCCTTGTTAGTGTCCAAGGCGCGCGGGGATCAGGTGGACGACGGGACCAAGCAGGAACCTATCGTTTGGCCAACCCTTGGGCTATGATGGCTGGGGCACACGAGCCAGTCGTTGCTCAGCTTCCAAGCTGGAGCTCCCCACAGCAACAGGCCAAACGGTGCATCTTATTGCTGGAGCTCTCTGCTTCGTCGCTGTCACGGCCGCTGCTTCGGCTGAAGCTGCTGCGACAGCGGGCCCAGCGGCCAGCACACCCCAGCCGATAGTGAGCAATGACTTGAGGTGACATTGCGCGTTGCTGCGGTTTGCATTCTGCGGTCTGCGGTCTGCGGTCTGCGGGATTCCTTCAAGGTCCCCCAGCAATTGAGGTACCACCCAGCCAACCCGCCCACCTCCGTAATGGATGTTTCATTACGTCCGCGAGCTTCCTGCCTGTGACCCAACAGCCATACTTACTCCGAGCTCCCTCCTCCCAAACTCGTTCATCTTTCCATCAACACCAACCTCCGCCCTCTTTTCCTTTCTTCCCTCCTTCCAACCCATCGTCGACAGAACTATCCTTCATCCATCTCATCTCGACACAGCCATCACAGCTAGCGACAGTTCCATCTCCGAGCTGATTGTCTGCCCATCATGAGGTTCTCAACCTCCGCCCTCGTGCTCGGCGCCGCTTCCACCGCGGTCGCCCTGGACCAGCACGTTCTTGGTGGCAACAACAGCCCCTTCGACGCCATCAAGACTACCGGCGAAAACTGGTTGTCCGCTTTCGAGGACAAGTTCGGCAAGATGACCTCCGAGGCCAAGGCCGTCTGGGACGAGATCGCCTTGCTCGCCCCCGACGCCGTCGAGGCCTTCAAGAAGAACGCCCTGCCCTCCAAGCCCAAGCCCCACACCCGCAAGGCCGATAAGCACTGGGATCACGTCGTCAAAGGCGCAGACCTCGAGAGCATGTGGGTTGAGAAGAACGGAGAGAAGCACCGCAAGGTCGGCGGTCCTCTCAAGAACTTCAACCTGCGCGCCAAGAAGGTTGATCCCGCCGCCCTCGGCGTCGACAAGGTGAAGCAGTACAGCGGTTACCTCGACGACGAGGAGAACGACAAGCATCTCTTCTACTGTGAGCAGCCACCCTCTCAAGCTGAACCTCCTCCTAAAACATATCTAACATCTACGTAGGGTTCTTCGAGTCCCGCAACGACCCCAAGAACGACCCCGTCGTCTTGTGGCTCAACGGTGGCCCTGGCTGCTCCTCCCTGACCGGCCTTTTCATGGAGCTCGGCCCTGCCTCCATCGACAAGAAGCTCAAGGTCGTCAACAATGAGTGGTCCTGGAACAACAACGCTTCCGTTATCTTCCTTGACCAGCCCGTCAACGTCGGTTACTCTTACTCTGGCTCCTCCGTCTCCAACACGGTCGCCGCTGGCAAGGATGTCTACGCCTTGCTCTCCCTCTTTTTCCACGAGTTCCCCGAGTACTCCAAGCAGGACTTCCACATTGCTGGCGAGTCGTACGCTGGCCACTACATCCCCGTCTTCGCCTCCGAGATCCTTTCCCACGAGGACCGCAACATCAACCTCAAGAGTGTCCTCATTGGCAATGGTCTCACTGATGGCTTGACCCAATACGGTTACTACCGCCCCATGGCTTGCGGCGAGGGCGGTTACCCTGCCGTTCTTGACCAGGGCGAGTGCCAGGCCATGGACAACGCCCTTCCCCGCTGCCAGAGCTTGATCAACAACTGCTACGACTCTGGCAGCGTCTGGTCCTGCGTCCCTGCCAGCATTTACTGCAACAACGCCCTCATCGGCCCCTACCAGCGCACCGGACAGAACGTCTACGACATCCGTGGCAAGTGCGAGGACAGCAGCAACCTCTGCTACTCCGCCCTCGGCTGGATCAGCGAGTACCTGAACCAGGACTCCGTCAAGGAGGCTCTCGGCGCCGAGGTTGACAGCTACGACAGCTGCAACTTTGACATCAACCGCAACTTCCTCTTCGCTGGTGACTGGTTCCAGCCCTTCCACCGTGTCGTTCCCAAGCTTCTCGAGAAGATCCCCGTCCTCATCTACGCCGGTGACGCTGACTACATCTGCAACTGGCTCGGTAACCGTGCTTGGACCGAGGCCCTCGAGTGGCCTGGTCAGAAGTCCTTCAACAAGGCCGAGGTCAAGGGTCTCCACGTCGGTAAGGGTGAGGAGTACGGCAAGGTCAAGTCCAGCGGCAACTTCACCTTCATGCAGCTCTACGGCGCTGGTCACATGGTGCCCATGGACCAGCCCGAGGCTTCTTCCGACTTCTTCAACCGCTGGTTGGGTGGTGAGTGGAACGCCTAAGTGCGACCAAAATGACGAATTTGTACGAAACGGAAGAATTATTCGTGTGAAGGAATGATTGCAGTGACTGCTTGGATTGGCTCGTTGTAGACTGGGTTATTGGAGTATATTAATACGGGAGACCCAGTTGTCTCGTTATGGATATGCGCTGGTGTCAGCCCGGCGCGGTAGTATCTAGTTACGCTGTTAGAATATGACTCTTTTCACATTAAGTCGTGTGAACCCATGGTTGAAATAGTGACGAAAAAGAGAGTTTGCTGGTCGGTTTGACTAATGCTGTGACGGAGATGAGTCGACATGACGGTATTAGTCACTGCGGCGGCGCATTTCCAAGCCGCTGCAAGCTAGTACCCGCAAAACAACGTCAGTCTTGACTTATTCCCCGTACCAACCAGCCAGCCTACAGATATTTCACCGCCCGGTGCCCCTCCTCACAGCTACGGCGGACAACCAACTACCCCGCCAAAACTTTTCTGGCAACGACCTTCGAATAAACAACGACGGCACAACACGTACAAAACTCCACGATTGTCGCATCACGCTACCGTTGACGAGACAAAAGTTCATCGTAACCTCCCAATCTCGCAACGCACTCTACGACCGGACCTGCTGCTGCTGCAGTACCCCTCGCCACGATGTCGTCGCGAATCAACCAACCCTCCAACCAGATCAAGTTGACCAATGTGTCGATGGTACGGCTCAAGAAGGGCAAGAAGCGCTTCGAGATCGCGTGCTACAAGAACAAGGTGATGGAGTGGCGGTCGGGCATCGAGACGGACCTGGACAACGTGCTCCAGATCCCAAACGTGTTCCTCAACGTGTCAAAGGGCCAGACGGCGCCCAAGGAGGACCTCGAGAAGGCGTTCGGCAAGGGCAAGAGCACGGACGACATCGTGCTCGAGATCCTGAAGAAGGGCGAGATGCAGGTCGGCGGCAAGGAGCGCGCGGAGCAGCTCGAGAGGGTGCACAACGAGGTAATCGGCATCGTCGCCAGCAGACTCGTCGACCCCAGGACCAAGAGGGTGTACACCACGGGCATGATCGAGAAGGCGCTGGACATGCTGTCGTCGGCGGCGCATAGCGCGGAGGACGGAGGAGGAGGAGGAGGAGGCGCCGGGAAGAAGGGCGGCAGCAACGTGCCGAGCGGGAGCGGGACACCCGCGGGCGGCGAGGAGGGCGAGGCGAAGCCCAGGGACAACAAGAACGCGCCCCACTGGACGGGCGTGGTGACGACCAAGTCGGCGAAGAGTCAGGCGCTGGAGGCGATGAAGGCCCTGATCGCGGCGCAGCCCATCCCCGTGCAGAGGGCGAGGATGAGGCTGAGGGTGACGTGCGCGACGAGCGTGCTGAAGCAGGCCGCGAAGGCGGCGCCCAAGGCGTCGTCGTCGGGCGAAGGGGCCGGGGAGGACGGCGGGCCGCAGAAGGCGGGCACGGTGAAGGATCGGATTCTGGGGTTCGTCGAGCAGGTCGAGAGCCAGGACGTGCTGGGCAGCGAGTGGGAGGTCGTCGGGTTCGTCGAGCCGGGCGCGTTCAAGGGGCTGAGTGACTTCATTTCGGGGGAGACGAGAGGGATGGGACGGGTCGAGGTATTGGATATGGCTGTTATTCACGAGGATTGAGGGAGACGGAGAGGAGAGGTGTGGTACGATACCCCGTTAGACCGAGGGTTGGCCTTTTTTCCCTTTAATAATTATGATCAAGACATGACGCTTGCATGCGAGTTTGGTGCCTGATCAATCGCGGATGTCATGGTCATTTGATGTTTACAACCTCGCTGAGGACGGAGTTGGCACCATACTGATTCACGATACTTTAGGTAGAGGAGAGGCAGCCAACGATAGCCACATACCTGGGCTATGGTCAGTCTAAGCCCGTGAAACGGCGCGGGGGACTGTTCGGACAGGAGGCGCCGAGTCTCCATCGAGACCGTCCTCCGGGGCCACCGAATATCCACAACCCGCCAGGAGTCCCGCTTCGCTTCGAAGACGCACATGTTGTGTGCGATTCCTCAAAATGACGGGCATTGATATGTCACTGAGTCCCACTGGTGCTGGAGCGAAAATAGAGAGTGCACGATGGACGAATCGCTTTTCCGCGTACTTTAGCGAATTGTGTGGACAGTGTATGGCAGCAAAAAAGAATTCCCATTTTTGGACTCCAGAGAGTGCCATCACACGAAAACACCAAATGCACTTTTTTAGCTTTTTGTTTGTCTTGGTATGATGGGACTCTTTCCGTTTCGTTATCTAGAGATGCCACCACCATCCTGCGCAGTAGAATAGCAATCCCCCGAGAATCATCATCATGTGCAGGTGGATGTGATGAGAGAGTAGAAAAAAAACCCAAGCCGATACACGACGCCTGTGAAATGGTTTGTTCCTTCCCACAACACATAAACCCAACGTGTCCTCCTCTCGCAAACAGCACCGCCCCCTCTTTGCGGGACGTGACGCTTAACCACCCTTCTTCTTGGAGACACCGACGGTGCGGCCGCGGCGACCGGTGGTCTTGGTGTGCTGACCGCGGACACGGAGGCCCCAGTAGTGACGGAGACCGCGGTGGGCGCGGATCTTCTTGAGGCGCTCGAGATCGTCGCGGAGCTTGGAGGCGACGCCGTTGGCGAGAATCTGGCTGTCCTTGCCGTCGACGATGTCGCGCTGTCTGTTGAGGAACCAGCCGGGGATCTTGTACTGGGTAGGGTTCTGGATGATGGTGACAATGCGCTCGAGCTCTTCCGAGGTGAGCTCACCGGCGCGCTTGTTCAGGTCGACTGTGGTTGGGGAAAAGACAAGTCAGCAAAACTGACGCGGTTCTTCGGGAATCGTCGGAGCGTATGATTGCTTGCTCCTCGTCGATTTGGAGGAGGAGGGGTGGGATTCGTGGAAAACGTACCATCGGCCTTCTTGCACACAATGTTGGAGTAACGACGACCGACACCACCAATCTTGGTGAGGGCGTACATGACCTTCTCCTGACCACGAACGTTGGTGTCTGCGAACCCGAGTTAGCCCTTAATTCCTTCTTCGCTATCGGTCGGGGTGGAGACGTCGTTGCTGTCGTCGTCGGTTTGGGAAGGTTGGGGGATTAAAACGTACTCAGAAGACGCAGGATGAACTGGAAGTTCGCTGCGACGATGGCATGTTAGCAGACTGCGCTTGCTCGATTTCGTGCGGACGGTATGGTAGACGAACTCTTCTCCCCCGAGACGAGCGACATGCTGGGCAACTGTCGAGATGGTTGCTCCTAGGTGTCGTGGTGGTGGTTTGACGACAAAATCGGGATACAAGCGTATGGTCGAGGAACTGATTGGAAATTTTCGGGCTCAGGCTCGGGCGTGGGATCTCTAGGGTAGGGTCACGTGTTTTGCCGCGGCGAAAATCCTCGTGTGCCGGTTGGCTCGCCCCTCTTTATAGTGGGACATTGGTTTTTGACCGACGCGATTGGTCGCACTTCCCTACCGTTCTCGACCAGACGAATTTGTGGAATTCGACGGCCCCAACCTACTTGAGGGGTTCATTGGGAGCGAACAAAGACTCGGTCATCTAACCTTGCTGAATATCATGGACGAATTGGCCGACTTCCATGACCATCACAGACCAGCACCTTGTAAACTCAGATGATAATACTTTTGACGATGCGTCAGGGACTATGTGAATTTTTCTATCGAAAAGAAGGTCATAAGTGGTCTAAACGATGACAGCTGCAACCAAGCCAACAGCGTGATCATGGTTGAGACCAGGTAGTACCGCTCATAAACTTGAGCCTGCCTGGATATGTTTGCCGTCCAAACGCCTTGAAGATAAGTGTGTATGTCTCATTTTGTGCGAATAATATTTTTGGAATTCAACATTGCAAACATCAGTGGCCATTATGAGTTCAAACACAACAATCATGACACAGGGGGGGGGGCTCATGAAGATTCAACCGGCTCTTGTTCTTGTACGCCGACGTTGTACATTCCCTTCCAACGAACTCCTGTACGTCCTCTCAATACAAGTGTCATACTCTCCCGGCTCCCCAACGCTGTCGAAACGTCCAGACGTCCAACCTAGGCCGCCGGTGCTGGAGGTGCAGGTTGCGCCTGGTTGGCCCCAGCGAGTGCCGCGGCAGCCGGAGCCGGAGCCGGAGCCGGAGCCGGCGCCCCCGCTTCTTGACCAGCCGGTGGTGGGCTCGTAGGCGGCGTCTGGTTTGCCGTGTCGGCGATGGCTGCGGGGGGCTGTGCCGCAGGCAGTACGCCCCCCGGACTTGATCCGACGATTACGACACCTGATCCCGCGTTACCTTGCGGTGGGGAAGCTGCGGTTGCTGGCTGGGCTTGGTTCGCTCCGTTGACGATGGCAGCTGGAGGCTGGGGCGCCGCGGCGTTTGCTGATGGTGGTGGTGCGGCGGCGGCAGGTTGGCTTGCGGGTTGACCTTGGTTCGCACCCACGGCGATGGCACCCAGTGGTTGTCCAGCTTGTCCTTGAGGCGGTGTCGCTACTTGGGCCGGAGGGGCTGCAGCAGGCGGTGGAGGTGCGGCAACCGGGGGAGCGGCAGCCAGAGGTTGTCCCTGGTTTGCTCCGACGGCGATAGCGCCCAACGGCTGTCCGGCCTGTCCCGAGTTGTTGAAGACGCCCAAACCCGACAGGCCCGCGAGTTGCGCAGCGGCGATTTGCTGGAACGAGGAGAAGAGGGTCGCGGCGGCACCGGCAAGCGCTGGATTTCCGTTGGCAGCGTTGGCGGCAGACGAGGCACAGTCTGACAAGAATGTTGCCGCGTTCTCGACGAAGAGACCCTGTTGATTCGGCAAGATAATGGCAGCTGGATCCGGGATCGAAAGACTCAACTGAGGAGCTTGTGTTCCCGCGGGAAGAATGATGCTCTGACCAATCTGTCCGAAGGGGGCCGCCTGATCGAATGCTGCGATTTTGAGGGTGGTGTCGGTATCGTCAGTCCCTGGGACGGCGGCGGCTTTGACAGTGTCATCGGTGTTGTTTGCTGCTGCATTAGGGTTGGCGTCCAGTGCGACGCGGGTGGCTCCGAAGGTATCGGATTGTGCAGAGGCTGCCTGCTGAGTAGATATCTCCATCGGCGTCGGGTCCGTGACCATTACCAGGGCCTGCTTTCCAGGCTGTCCGTTGTCGGCAAGGAGCTGGTTGACGAGGTATCGTTTGTTCTGTTGGCCCCCTGCGCGGTTGTCGACGAGGCCGGTGACGGTGACGATGATTGTGTTCTGTTTGCTGCCTCAGCACACGACACGCGAGAAAGGGTCGAGATCAGACTGATGACTTACGGCTTGAGGGAATTGTGCCTTGAAGTGGTTGATTCGGATGTTGTCCTTGACCGTCTGCAGCTGGGTTGCAAGAGCAAGCTGCGACTGCACCAATGCTGCCAGTTCTCTCTCATTTTGGCGCTGCAGCTGGTTGATCTTGTCGAGGTTCTCCTGTACGACGATGATGTTGGGTTTGATGATGTTCTGGACAATCGTCACATCTCCGTTGTTCTTATTATTGTTTTTGTTATTGTTGTTGTTGTTCTTTCCATTATTCTTCCCGCCATTCTTATTTTGATCTTTGTTTTGGTCCTGTTTCTGCGCGCCCTTGTCTGCGGCGGCTTTCGCGTCTTGCGCAGGTGCTTTTGATACAAGTTAGTCTCTCTGCTTGGGCACTCGGGGCTGTACCAAGGAGGGAAGTTACCAGCAGCAACAAGTGAGCTGAGGACCGCGAGACCGGTGAGAAGATGTTTCAGATGCATAATGATGATACGGTCGTACGGGAGATTACAAGTTAAGAGAACGAAAGGTAGAATAGGCGCAGCCAACTACAGATTGATTATGAATAGGGACGTAAGAATGAAAGGTATTAGGCGGCCTCTAGGGCTCACCGAGAGAAACGGTCGTGGAAAGTTGACACGACACCAAGTGATCTACTCCTGCGAAGCAAATCCTACGATCTCTTATGATCCAACAGAAGGGTCACAAGTCCGGCGGCTCCTCCTTAAATATGAACCTTAGCCGTCGAGAACTCACACGCACATCTGTCCCTCGTCGATGAATCCCTCCTGCCACCGGGAGCTGCGTTTCCCGTCTGCCGCAACGGATAGCCTGGGCAAAGCGAGCGACTCGCAGTGGACAGACGGACGATCTGGTGGACATCGTCTCGTCACCAGCCCTGGTCCCCGTCTTCGGAGGTTAAAGAAGCAAACCGCATAGCATGGCCGTAAGGAGGGGTTCGATGTGTATAGAGAGATGCCTACTAGTGAGACAAGGAGAAGGGTCCTTCGGAGGAGAGGGGAAGACGGCTGCAGGCTGTTTGCCGAACTATGCTTCTCCTGCCATCCAACCTTGACAGGTACTGGCGTGCCGTCTCAACCGTCCGCAGTGTAGCTGTCAACGGGGCATCATCCCATCGACGACAAGATGAGTTTCGGGATTGCGCTACCAATCATGTTGTTTGCCTATCGACCTCAGGCGCTTTGCGACCCACGCGAAACGGGTGGCGGAAGAGCCTCATCCGGGCCTTCTCCGAACGGGCTTTTTATTGAGTTTCTCTTCGTGAGTCAGGGGCCGGCAGACGTAACTACTGGTGAACTCTGGCAAGTCGTCGCGACGATGCCGGTGATAATCATAGCGCATCTTAGTCGCCTGATGCTTGGTATGGCAATCGCCAAGAGAGATCAATGTATGGGTATGCGGAAGCAATATGATCAGCAGCACCCAGAGATGCCTTTTGAATGCTTGGGAATCAAGAGATGATGCGGCTCTTTTCCACCGTGGACAGCTTCGGAAAATAAGAAAAGTTTTGAGTTAAGCTCAAGCAGACGCTGTTGCTGTATTGTGGGCACAAGACGATGGTGTTCCGCATCAGCCGATGACAGCTTGGCTTACGGGGTGTCGAAGCTTGTTTTCTTCGGACTAAATCGCGGTTCGACGGTGGGCAGACGGAGCATAACCGAAACACCAATGTGCGGCCCTTGTCCCTGTTCACGTTTAGTAACGCAGCAAATACAATGCGACTGACGGATTTGCAGGGGTCGTGTATCAACTATGATTCCATGGCATGTTGCCCCGTGTAAGCATTATTGGTATTAAGTCTATTGTAGTGTGTTGGGCCGGGCTCTGTGAACTTCACATCTCCAGCTCCCTTCTCGTATGCCATGCTCGTTAACTTCCGTAAATTGCGTTTCCCAGCCACAACGTCGCCAGCAACCCCAAAACCCGAAATTTCAATGCGCTCTTGGACACAGATGCGCCTTTCACTTTTGAAGGCCCTGCGGTCTTTTCCGCTACCACTGCGGCCTGCCACGGAATAGGACTCTTCTTACCGTCCTTAACGGGTCGACCCAACGTGATATCCTCCGATTCCTCGTGGTGCTCTGTACCTGTCAAAGTACAAGCGATGCGCTGCGTGGCGTCATGGCTTTTGGCGCATGCCCAAAGGTAAATGGCTGCGATGACCACAACTTCAGCTGACCTTGGTAGGTAGCCTGGGCGCCCGATCCTCAAGACACCAGCACCATCGCTCCCTAGCCAGATGTGGTGATGAAGGACATAGGTCTCAAGAGACAACCGGCCCAAAGTCGCCGCAAGTGGGACGTGGAGCTCGCGCAATTTCTGGATGGAGTTGCGGGTGATGATGGCTGACAGAACAAACCATGGACTGGTGTAGGGGTGGAAATTGTTATAAGAGTCGTTGTTCTGGTACACCTGGGCCGCGAAAGCAAGAATAATGAAGACGACGAGGTATGCGACGGCGAAGAAGATCATTATCGGCTTCACCGGAATAGCATCCTGTTCAGGGTATACAACTTCGAGAAGTCCACGGTCGAGTGCGTCGTTGACTCCTTCGAATGGAGCACGGGCGTTAATACCCAGTTGGCGGCGTCTGAGGACTGAAACCCTGTGGGCTGCTGCAGCGGTGAGTATGCCAAAGTACGGGACAAACCGATCGAGATCGAAGTGTGCGCGTAACATGTCCACGTTCCAGTGGATACCGCTCGTGGATTTAAGGATTCGCAAGAATGTCTCCGGAAGGTGAGTGCTTCGTACCAGAAAGGTAGTGCAGGCAGCGAAAACCATGATCTTGAGGAAAAAGGCCGTCGGATTGTTGTTGAGAGTCCGGAAGCAAGCCAGAGAAGCATATGTTACTCCGAACCAGAAGGTCATCAGCGGCGCGGAGTAGATGATCCATTCGCTGGACGTTGCCAGCCCGAGAGTACAGCTGAGAAGGTTGAGTCGGATCAATACGTACGTTACCCTTCGCAAAGAGTAGTCCTCGGTTCGAAGGAAGTAGGTGGCATGGCCGAAGCAAGATAGGAAGATGTAGGTCGCGACCAGGAACTTCTGTACCTTATACATGGCCAGAGACTCGGACGCTGCGTGGTAGTTGTACAATAGTATGAAGGCCTGCATCCATCCCTTCCATTCATCGGTCTGTTCTCGTGACAGAAAGGAGTTTGCGGTGAGGCCTTTCGATGACGATAAGGCAGGCGATCTTGATCGAAGGGAAAGCGTTGCAAGGATGGCCAGGCCGATCAGAGGCAAGATGAAGTCTGGTACGTCAAAGTGCTTATCCTGCTTGATAAGGAGGTGAGTTCGATCAGTGAGCAGACAGTAGACGGCGACGGCGACTACTGTCGCTACTGCAGACAGGGTTTCTACGACTCGAGATGTTCCAAAAGAGGGGAAGGCATCTTGTCTCTTATCGAGGAATAGCACAGGCAGAGCCAGGATGCTGAGGCCAAGAAGCAACACCTGAATCCTTGAAAGGGACGGATAGGGGGCGCAGCAAGTAACCTGGTTTGCGTATCCATTCCTGGCCAATCCTGCGTTGCAGTGGGCGTTGATAACCACGTCAAGTTTCCTCTCTGCCACTATGTCCACAGGATGAAGTCCATCGTCGAGAAGCGCATCTGGATGGCCTTCCAACATGGAGTTGTAACTCCGAATGACGTGTGTGCGCTGGGCTGGCTGCAAGTGATCCAGATTCCAGTTCATTGCGTCAACCCTGTCCGGTGTGATGGTCTTGGCCCGGGAAGCTAGGAGCTTCTCATATGCTGGGATGGGAACAGGCGCAACCATGACATGGTTGGAGAGCTCCTCAAAGGCCGACTGGGACCTGCTCTTGGGGAGCACCACCAAGTGGTTGAAATCGCGGTGCAGGTACGGCACAAGGTTGTTGATGCCTTCTCTGAAGAGCTCCAAGTATCGATCACCGCCCTGACGAGCGGCCCAAAGACCCGGGGTGCCGGCGACGATCAGTGCGGGCGAATCTCTCTCCTCCTTTCGGACGAGTTTCTCATAATCCGCAGAGCCAGGCCGTTCCCGAAATCGAGCCAGTTGGCTTAGAAAACCGGTGGAGTTGAGCCATGGGTCCCAGATGAACTCAAGTTTGACGCCCTCAACTTCTCTGGTAAGATTGCGATGTTTGTCTTCGGAGACGGCGAAGTCGAGTATGGCCGTCTCAGCAACATGATGGTCAAGGCGGGTCATGGCAGCGAAGTAGATCTGGCGCATGGTCGAATCGCCGACTATGACAAGGCGACGGTCCTTGAAGCAGCTCGAGAGATCCTCGCGGGACATCTCGCGCATTCGACAATCTTCGGGCTCCCATCTCCTGAAGACATCTTTCGGGAGATTCGAATCTTCACGAGAACGCCATCTGCCACTTGAAAGCAGGCCATTACACCTGTAGGGATCATGCTGGCCTGGTCATCTGTGTTAGCATTTGTCTTTCGTGGAGGGCCCGAAGTGGGGACGTTATGGGGACTAAAGTAAGCGCACCGAATACAAAATACTGATAGACGACACAGAAGACCAAGACTATGAGTGAGATTCGAGGGAGAGTCTTTAGGAGAAGCGGCGAACTCCCGGCGGAGGAAGCCAACCTCTGAATGCGGAGCATCGGAGGCTCAGGGAGAGAAAAAGGAACGACGCGCGCGACGTGAATCAATGTTCCGACTGGTAGTGGTGGCGGCGGCGGCGGTCGTCTTCGGCGGGAAACGGCATTCTCTTCCGCCTGCTGTCGAAGAGAGGGTCCCCGGGCCGCTCGGTCGTTGCGGTATGAAGGTCAGGTATCGCGGCGCTGCTGAGAAACGACGTGACGGCGGGAGACACGATGTGTTGTTCTCTCTTCCCCGCGATGACGATGTTGGAAGGACGTAAGGTAGGAGGAGAGCGATCGAAAGGATCAGGCAGAGTGATGAGCTTTCCAACCCCCCTCTTCACAGACGCGCATGCGAGGCCGCGGTTGCCATTTCCCTTATAATGCCAGCAAGCCATGGGCTACAGAAGCCAAGAAGCGGGCGGGTGACAGGGCTGGCGCTGCCAAGAGTCCGCTACGGCAGGAGACCCGTCCATGTTCTTGGGATCTCATTCCTCAGCAGGTCAGCCTACCTAGGTAGAGGGATTGCGGGAAGCCTCTCAGGCCAAAGGGATGCGCTCTGCCTTCCGGAGGTGGGCATTGCCGACAGAAGGTGAGGTGGGAGGGGACGCTATCAATAATCGCCGTCAGCGCGTACGTCGATGGTCGTTGGCGACATGGGAGACGCAAGATAACAGGCCAGGAAGCGAAAATACCCTCCCATCATCCTTGTCGCGGGATGCTCCTTATGGAAGGGCAACACGCGACCTTCCTGTGGGGAGCAAACATCCACTGCACACCTCACTGCGAGCGGGCAGGCTCACAGCTGCAGGTGAAGACATCGGTGACCGGGGCACTCTGAGGATTCGAGCCTTCGAGGAACCCCGCCCCGCCTGCCAGGAGCACTCCACTCACGCTGTGTTCTGCCCAGCCAACGAGGCACGGTGTGGGTTCCCACGACCTCACAACTGATTACCTATCTGTAGGTGTGTAGGTACATTGGAGGATGTCAGCCGCTGATCACTCTGCTCGGGCAAACACAGTGCGGTCCACTCGCACCCCTGGCCAGCCAAGAAGGCGCACCGCCTAATTTTTATTTTTTTCTCGGGTTGGGCGAATATTTTTCTCCTTCCTCCCCTCACGTCGCGTCTTCGTTTTCCTTTCATCCTCCATCTGCATCCGGGATGCCGTCGCAACCGGCGGCGTAGCTCTTGGATATTGAAGCCAAACATGTCGTCTCACGCATGTACAATTGTTCCTTCATCGGGATGATGCGAGCGACGGGCGACTGTGCCTCAACAACGAGGACGAACGATGGGACTGCCCAATGGCTGTCGCAAATTGAAAGGTAGGTGGTGGCGCAGGCGAATCTGCCGAGCCGTTCATCTTCTCTTGCTGTGAAACAACCGTCGTCTTTTGCCATAGCTCGGTCAGTTTAGCCCTCTCGACTGCTGATCTTGAGCCGGATACACTGCGCTTCGGCCAAGTGTACAAGACAAGAGGAAACCCCAGGCAATGCTCTTTGAGTACGGAACCTTTAGAGCCAGAGTGAAGGTTTTCGTAATTTATCTGTTGTCACATTCTCCTCGTCCAACGACATTGAATGAGTCTTCTCTCTCAAAACTTGCCGACCCCGTCATCACTAGTATGTTTGCTCTCATCTTCTCCAATATCTTCGTTGTTCTCATAATCGTAATCGTAACTGTCCCTGTTCCTCTTGCTAGTTTCCCGCCTGGCTGCGATGTCTATGTTACAAATCCAGTGGCATGTAAGAACAGTCTCTTCCCTGCAAGTGATGGGTTCCTTTGTTGCCTCTTCCATCCATATACCCCTATGCACGCGGAAGCTTGCACTTCGCCTCTAGAGCCGCCAGCAATCCCATACGGTCGAACTCGGTCACTTGAGCCACCTTGGGTTCAAGTTGTGTGACATAGACCTCTCTGAGACCTCGGATGGCCAGGAGCTCGTCTGCACCGAGCATGTCCATCAGTCTCTGGAACTTGCGAGCCAAGGGAAAGTACCGGTCCAGTTCGGCCTCTCGCTTGTTGAGGGTCATCATGGTGGCTTTGGAAATCTTGATGTTGATGTGCTTGAGGTTGGGGCAAGTGGCCAGCTTCCTGAAGGCAATGTCGGCCTTGGGGCCACACCAGTGGATTTGAGCCTTGCGCATGTACTTGAAGATCATTTTGCTCTTCTCCAGTGCGTTGGAGAGGGCACAGCAGCAGGCAAAGTACCAGATCCTCTTGGCGTAGAGAAGATTGTAGAACTCGTCACCCAGAGAAGCACCCAATTGCTGGAAGGTCTCCCTCTGGGCCTTGGAAACCACATACCAGGAGTGCTTCTCCGCATTCGCGCAGGTGCATTTTCGGTTGCGCAGAGTAAGCTCCATCTGCTGGACACCTCCGTACTCGTCGATGATCATGTTGATGATTCGAGCTCGAATCTCTCGGGGTAGCTTCATGAAGGGAAATGCCTGGGGAGGAGGCGGGCGATCTATGCATGCAAGTCAGCATCCATATCAGAATCAAGAAGACAAAGACAAGAGATGGGTTAAAAGGATGGATGGCACTAACTGGCAATGTCCAGAATCTCGGTGCACATCTCGATGAGTTGAATGCAGGAAGTTGCTTGGCCTGGCTGCTGCTGCATCAACAATGCGACCTTGCGAATGGTGGCTGTGAGAGATTTGCGATTCTCAGAGCTCATGCGGACCATCCGGGCGAGTTCATACTCTTCCATCAACCTGGCCTTGACATCGTCCAGATGCTGCAACAGCTTCTTGGTGTTCTTGTCAAGCTTGTATCTGCCAGGGACGTCGGTCATCACCATGATGTACCAATTCTTGGTACCAAGAATCCATCCGTTCCCCTGGAGGGATGCCATCTTGAAGGCTTCGCTGGTTGATCTTCCAAAGTACTAACAACTCATTAGTCAGCAGATGTGAGAATGGGGGATGAAGCAAGACGTACATGGGTAAGACCGTTTTATGTGAGTCGTTACTTGACAAAGCTGACCCCTTCCTGCTAGCTTGCTTGAACGACAACAAACAGCTCAGTCTGTCTTGTCTTGTTGAGGTACTTCTTAGACTGAGGCTGTTAGGAATAGGCACGCCAAAGCGCGGTCTGGTCAGCTAGCTGGTGAGAGCTCAACGTACCACAACCCCAGATATCTGGAGCGATGAACGTGCAAAAAAGAAAAGCAGGAGGTATGTGTGAGGACTTTTGAGGTCGGGTAGAGAAATTTTGCCAGTCGACGAAAGTTGGCTGGCTACCTCAAATGTAAATGTGAGAGAAAGCCTTCTTGTTTTTTGCGGTTGGGTTGGACAAGATTGGGTGAGGTAGGTAAGGTAGGAAGGAAAGAACCTAGCCACCCATCAGAGGATAGGATGCCTTTGCTGAACGGCAGCCTTCTGTGGGATAGAAAAAAGGTTCACAAGTCGCTTCGCTTAAGTCGCGTCAAACCAGAAGGTGAGGCGCTGGGGAAAATAAAATGGATGGGTTTATTGGGTTAGGGAGGTGTGGTCACAAAGGCAGCAAAAGTGAGGTGCGCTGGCATTGTATTTCTCTTTCTGCCTCAGCACCTACAAAATGAATGTAATGTTAGCTTATGCAGAGTTTACAGCATCAAAGCAGTACGGGCTATGATGACCTAGTATAACAGCAATGAGTAGCGACTAAATAGACCATCCCGATAGGTATGCTAACATCGCGCTGTCCTGCAACCTGTTTCTTCACAACGCCCTCTGATAAACCTGAAGCCAGTTCCATCAGGACTTTGCAAGAGTAGGAGTGTCGAGAACACAATGCGGGTTGCAATTGCGTGTGTAGCAGTGGAAACAACTGTAGACAGTAGGATTTGCAAGTAGAGAATGGAGCAAAAAGACATCCTAAAAGTCTTTTTCAATCACGAAATTTCTTATATGGCTAATCCAGTCAACTCGACCGCAGAACAATGGAAATAACGTTTGTCATATTTGCAAATATCGTTCATGTTCATTATTACCGCAAGACCTGACCAAGTCCCCGGTTGCCTAAACTGCTATACCCATGCAATATCAGCACTGAGCAGAGTCCTTGAGCCCATGTGTACAAAACCCCCCGATTAAGGTGAATGAATCCAAACATATCCAGCCCAAGTTCCATAATATTTTTCCCAGTCCGAAATGAAACCCAAACTCCGAGGCGATGCTTTAGAAACTCCTCTCCGTATTACGGTCTCTCATCTTCTTCCGGCACGGACCGGACAAATGGCCCCTCTCGCGCCATCGCCACCGAGTTCATCCGACGCGGACTGTCGTCCACACTATTGTGTCTCGATGTGCCCGGGCTGACGCCGATGCTGTAGTAGCTTGAGCGTGTCTGGTCACGGCTTGGGCGCCTCTTGCCGAAGGTCAGGGTGAAGCCGTTGAGAATCTCTTGATGTCTGAGGTTGGTCTCGCTGAAGGGCCTTTCACGAGGATCGGGCTTCTCAATCTCGTCCTTGGCGACCTTCTTCTTGGGCTTTTCCTCCTTCGTCGAACGCCATCCTAGAGTCTTGGCAAGGCGGAGGGCGGGTGACTTGGATTCTGGCGAAGTAATGCCGCCATTCCCTTGGCTTGGCTCGGAGATGGACTTGCGGCGGCGGAAATGATCTCGGATAGCCATTATGGGATTGGTAGGCTGAAGGGTGAGAGAAATATGTCGGTGTGAGGTGATGTAGCAGTAGTAAGGTGTAAATCAGCCAATGAGGGGCACTGATGGAGGCGATGTACTTCGTGAAGACAAGATCTGATATCACTGAGGTTGTTGGAATCTACCTGAGCAGGAGACCAGGGATGATGAGGGTGGTGATCTGGGATCGGAAGCGAGAGTGGGCATGAGGGGATGTCAATGGTATTTAACAAAGACGAGTAAGAACGCAAGCAATGACACAGGTTAGCAGCAAGACGGATGTGGCAATGGCAAAGAAAGCACCGTTGGGAAGACCCGGGATGGTGGGATGCATGTCGTTCGACGGCCTTCCTGGACCTTGCATTGGTGGGGTTGCCAGCTTGTGGGGTGCTTTCACCAACTGACGGCCTGCAGGACGGGCAGGGCCACCGCCATCCAGCTGCCAGCCCACCCATCCCCGGACTTGACCACCTCCATTCTTCGCTGTGCCCGCGTTACGTGCCTAGCCGGGTGGCATTATGCAGGGCGCTACACCTCTTACGGGTGCTCGCGGGAACTGGTTTCTTGGATGCGGGCCGACGTCATTCCAAACCTGAAGACCTCAGGCCCGGCCGTCTGTCGTTGTCGCCCAAAAGAACTCTTCGCTTGTGTCCGTCGCCGATGAATCAGAATACCGATGATCACTGCTTGCTGCTGATCGAAGAGGATCGTCAACGTGGCGGGACTGGTCTCTTGACGGTCTCGACTCGACCCCATCAGTCATTGTTCTGGAAGATGGCCATCTCAAAGTGTCTTCTTTCAGGATATTGAACCGTCTCCGATGGTCCCGGCTAGGCTGCCTAGTGATTGGGGTTCTGGACGTCAGCCATGTCTTACTTAGTCTCAGGCACCTTCGATGTATCCGTAGGCCACTGTTGGCAACATCTGTCGGGGGCAGGAAAATCCCCGCGTGTATGTCCAAAGGGCATCGATTGGTGCATTTATCTCCAACCCGCCAGACCATTCCCGGAACGCCACTGCGAAAAAACAACCGCCCGCCTGTCAGCCTTGAGACGTGGCTGCCTTCAAGCTCTGCCAAATACACTCCGCCAGATAACAGTGATGCGAGGAAACAAAGAGCGTTGCATCGTGAACTCCTTCCTCGCACTGCTCACAGTGTTCTCTGTCTCTCTCTCTCTCTCTCGCTCTGAAGTAGCCAACAGGTCATCGAGATATGCACTCTGCACCAAAAACACCGGCGCTGCTAGATCCAAGGCCGCCGAGTGCCGTTAAGCCCCAAGCCAAAGCCGCAGATTCCCAATCCAAATCATCGTCTGGCAGCTCGTCCCCTTCGACCGCAGAGCGGCTTTCCGCAGGGCTCGGCTCGTAAGTAGCCTCCGGCGCATCGTCGGGGGTTGCCGCAGCTTTCTGTGCACGGGTTCGGCGGTTCCCTTTAGCCATAGGGGTTTCCGAAATTGTCATCTCGTCGGACTTCGCATTTGCTGAACGGCCCTTGTGTCGCGTGTGGAGGGCGCCGTCGTTGTCGTCCGTTTCCGATTCCGGAGTTGATTTGTCGTTACTTTCCAGCAGTCTGGTCGGTGGCTGCGCCTTCGGGGCTTTCTTCAGGGCGAACGGAGTCGAGGAGGCTAGAACATCGTTCACGTCGAGCGCACGTGTGGCAGCCCACAGTCCTTGGCTGGCACCGCTGAGCAAAACGTCCCATGCCACGCCTGCTACGACGGGATGGTCGGATGCCGATCCCAACACCTTGCCGAGAGCCGTTGTCGTTCGCTCCCACGTCGACCGCTCCTCTCTGTCAAAAGGGAGGAATCGGCTATGACGGTGATAATGAGCGTCCGGCGCGTTGTACAACAGGCCAAGAGCTGTCCCTTTGACATGGAAGGCGAAGCTCGCCGTAGATAAGAATCGGAATAGCTCGACGACAATCCCATACGCGCCGTGGTGGTTGGAGTATACTGTTCCCCAACTGATCGGGACAACGGCGGGGATCATGAGGGGAGCAAATGTGAGCATCCGACTGGAGAATGCGATGTTGGCAAACGTTGACGTCCCCGCAGTTGATGGAGCCCAGTAAACCAGGACATATTTCAGACAGAAAGACGCGAGGAATAGCGCCGGATGTGGGAACCAGTTGATAGGTTTCGGGGGGAAGACTTTGTTGCGAAGGCGTCCGAATGTCGTCGTTGGCTGCATTCCAGATTCAGCCCCGGCTGGGGTCGGCGTAAGAAGAAGCGCCAGGTAAAAGAGATTCTGCGCGAAGGATAAGTTCACGAGATGGGCTAACGCAAGGTAAGCCCAGAGAGAAGGGATGTGCCTTCTTCCTCCTTCGACAGCCAACAACAAGCTCCATGACACCGTCGCAAGATCGATCTGCTGTCCCCACCAGAACCGGCGAGCCTTCTCCGCAATGATCTCGAGAGCATCCAAGTGCACTGGGGTGTCGGTCAACCAGCGACCAATGTGGACTTGAGTCGCGTTCTCGCCGAAAGGCAAGACGCCGTTATTTCCGTAGAAACTGACATAAGTAAGTGAGCTGGACAAAGAATCAGGTCAGAAGCAATCAACCTAGTTGGGGCTTCAACCCCGCGCTGATCGGCCCAGACTCGGTATGAGAGCTTCGCATAGCTCCAAGTCCAGTAGCTTGCGACAGACAAGCTCACAACAGCCAAACTGGAGAAGAGTGGTGCAATAGTCGACCGTCGGACGAGCCTCGCTCTTGTGCCTTGGGATGGCGGGAGATCTCGGTATGACGTGTAGAGACTCTGGGCGACAGTGAAGCCTAGATATGCTACCGCCACCGCGTGGCCGCCTACCAAGCTCAAAGGCAGGTATCTGTGATGTGTCAGAAAGGCTCATGGCTATGGACTAGAAAATGAATGTCAACACACTTCACTTCCGGCTCCAAGGGCACTGGCGCCATCTTTCACACTTCCTTGAGACCGATGTTTTTCTGTTCAGTGTTTGAGGATCGACCAAGAAGGCCGACTCAAAATAAGGGAGATTTAAGGTCGAGGCCGACCTATAGCCTCGAGGGATGCACATCCAGCGCGCGTCATCGTCACACAACAACATCCGTTCCTTGGAAGCTCAGTCGTTAGGCTGCCGCTGTTGATGGTCGCAGGCGACCTGTACAGCTACCTGAGCATTGGGCAAGACGCATCCCGCGTCATTGTAGTGGTACCGAGCAGGGTTTCTGCCGCAAGGGTGGGTCACATTTAGTGCACGGTTCAATGGAGGCCGGAGAAACACAGACCACGTGACAGCGGCATCACTGGTAGCGCCGAGCCCCAATCAGCCCCACCCCTGGTCGACCATAAAATCTCTGCCATCGATGCGAATTGTAGAAATCTTCTTCTTTCTTCACTACATCAGTTGGGTTAAACTTACACCGTCATGTGTAAATTTAATTCTAATGGCGGCTCCGCATAGCGGCTTGCTGAGGGTTGTCCTGATCTCCGTGGATTTCCTTCCGTTCCCGGCCCCCTAAAGTAAACACCATGTGAACACCTTTCCTTATCAGCCGAGTACGACGATTCTTCCTGGTATTTGACTGTGGGGTGGTCTCAACAAATCCTTTGCCCGATGCTAAGCTTATTGCTCTCGAAAGCATTCGGACCAAATTCTATAAAACAAAATCCTCGACGTCTCGGATCCAGTCCATCTGGCCCAACATGTGCCCGGCCTGGTTGCATGTGTTCCCAGCTGTATGGAGGTCGACAGAGCGATGTTTGACCAGTCCCGCTCTGCCATAGCTCAGACTACCTTAAACAGGGATACCTCCGCTTCTTGACTGACGAACACCGCGTTCCTTTACTTCACTGCGATCTGACGTTCGCGCACCGGTGATATCACTGATTGAAGAGTGGGGCACGGCTCGAAGAGTCTGGAGAACAAGTCGTAGGTGTTTATGATGCCCAAAGTAAAGCTCCTCGCAATATCCTCTTCAACTCTACATATTCCCTCGCTAATCCCAAAAGTTTTTCCTGTGGCGGCTGGGGTATGCGAATCATTATCCCGCTCGCTTTCTAACAGCTCAGATGCCAGATACCTGCGCTTCAAACGTACGCCCTGCCTCCTCCAGCATGGCCCTTCTTCCAGATTAGGTAAACGAGGCCCATCGTGGCCAACGCAAATCCAAATGTCACAAACTGCATTGCCTGATCGGCAGTGGCTCTCTTGCAGTTGTCGAGAAGTTGATCTTCACTTGAATACGAGGTCCATTGATCGTTCACTCTGTACCTTCCTCGATTGATGATGGCGTTATCCAGTATCTTCTGCGACCCATCAGCTGTGGTGGGATCGCAGGTAACCCCTTGGATGCCGATAGCGATGGCCTATCGATTCGTCAGTGCTGGATAAGTCGATGAGGCAAGGCTATATGCGTACAATACCACCGGCGAGGAGCAACAATCCACTGACGGCATCGGCAGCCACGACGATGAGAGCCGGGATAAAATCGAAGAAGGTTGCAATCGCACCCAGGAGGGCGACAGCCAGCCCAAATCCACCAGTGAATACGCTGTATTTGGTGGTCGTAGGAGGGTCGGAATATTGATTCCAGTCTTGGGGCCTATCATTCTTGGACCGAACCTTCATCAGCTCGACCGATAATGCAAGGACGACGATTGCCATTATGCCCTGCTGACTGTCAGTTTCGTTGGGACCAATATCTGGTGTATGTCACGGCCTAGCCTTTCACTTACCTGAAGAGCCCACAGGCCAAGACTGACGAACTTAAGCATCGTGTTCAATAATACGACGAAGAGAGTGAGGATGTATGTCTGAGTTCCAAACGTCTCGATGGTCGAAATGATGGAGTGCGACAGGGTCTTTTAAATACAGATGTGCCAAGGACTTTCAGCGGCACATATTTGAAACATGCAATAATATGACGGGGAAGCAAACACCAAGAATAGCATGGGAATGCAGCTTGCTCTCCGAGTATGTGACTCAGTCACGTCGTTGGGTGATGGCAGTCTGGTGACACCAGGGACCAACGACCATCGACCTCATCCCCCAGCCCCCAATGCACCCTTATTAGTGGCACAGGACTATTTTCCCCGTCTCAGCGACTAAACCAGTGGCACATTGATGAGGATCATGCATGTTTGTGACCAAGAGCAAGGCACAGCTCCTCCGAGTCGGCAGCTTGCAGACCAGCCAGCGGGCGGGCGTCCTAGGCGCTTGTCGGGCTAGACATCCATCGCGACACAAGGCTTGCCTCGCCTGCCCTTGAAGGATGCCTTGCATCAAACTCTAGCCACTGTGATTGCGCAGAGAGCTCAACGTGAGCTCGCGCGGAAGCCTGTCTCGGACGAAATCAGATCAGCACGGCGAAGGCATACCATGGCAGCACCGGAGGATTTCTGGAACGGGTAGGCTTGCACGCTTGTAGGGGTTGTGGCCAAAGAACAAACATCACCATTCACAGTGGGCTGAGCCACCGTGATCAACACAGACTGGACGCTGGTTGAACATGTTGGTGCCGGGATGGCATGTAGTCAAGACTTGCTTCTCGCTAATTTAAGACGATTTTGGGCAGTGCTTTTGCGTCCTGCCTGCTGGCAGCCGTACCGCCTGCACACCCAGCCTATCGTTTGGTCCTTGTGGAGCCCGGCCGCAAACGCTCGGAGATCGTCCAATCTGCTCCTCCACGATCCATCATCCTAGCCCGTTTGATTATCTAAGACACATAATAAGTCCGTGCACTATTCGATGACTCAGCAAGAAAAATCCCCACGATGACGGCCTCAGCAGGGCACGTGCCGGGCGTGGCGGGCACAGGTCAGAACTGATCCGGAGCGGGAAATTCCAGAGTCCAAAATCGACACCTCTGAGCGATAACCGGAATAAGTGGATACCAACCAAATTCCGCAGGTTGCATCCGTCACCTTCCAGCAACTGGAACGCACGGTCCAAGTCGCGACTGTGTGCCCAAATTTTTTCGATAGCTTCCATCATCGGCCGACAAGCCCACCTCTTCTACCCTTTGACCAACTCCGATCTCCGACATCAATCCATCCGCTCACCTAGTCCACAATCTTCGCCATGTCGTCGCTTTGGGATACGTTTTCTGGACGCAAGTCCTCTCAGAAGGAGACGGGGGCTTCGAACGGCCCTACCCCCACCCAAGAATCCTCAACCCTCCAGACGTCGCCTACCCACTTTGACCCTTCAGCAGGATCTGGTGTCGAGTCTTTCCTTCAGAGCTCTTCCTTCGCGGACCCCGCGCAACTACACCCTCTTTCTGGCCTGAACAAGGACACCCTCGAATACCTCTCCCTCGAAGACGCGGCTCTGACCGATGTGCCCGGCGGCCAGTCCGTTCTCCCCTCCCGAGGCTTTACAGACGATCTCTGCTACGGAACCGGTGTCACATACTTGGCGGCCTTGTCGATAGGAGGAGCCTGGGGTCTTCAGGAGGGCCTCAGGAGGTCTGCTGGCCAGCCCCCGAAGCTGCGTCTGAACTCGATCCTCAACGCCGTCACTCGTCGCGGCCCCTTCCTCGGCAACTCAGCAGGCGTTGTCGCTATCACCTACAACCTCTTTAACTCTAGCATCGGCTACTTCAGAGGGAAGCATGATGCTGCCAATACTATCTTGGCTGGCGCGTTGAGTGGAATGGTTTTCAAGAGCACCAGAGGGGTGCGGCCCATGTTGATTTCTGGTGGTATCGTGGCCTCTGTGGCTGGTGCTTGGGCGGTAAGTCATGTACCCGAGGGAGATTTGAATCTTCCGTAATTAACGTCTCGTGCAGGTTGTTCGCCGAACTTTCTTTGCCATTCCGGAGCCGTCTATGTCTTCGGAGCACGCCCACTTGTAATTTCACGACATAAACCCCTCACGAACTATCATCGTTGAATCCCAGCCCATAATGAAAACACCCTATTCTCCACGGATCATCATGGATCTGTGGGCGAAATGCTCATTGATACGAGCTTCTTCTGTCTGTTGTTTGAGTATGAAAAATAGAGCGCCTTAGAGGAGTCTTGGGCATTGCGACGGACGATCTCTCCTCTAGTGGACCCGTGTATAGTATTTGGAAGGAGCATTAGAAGACCGCATCACCAGGTGGTGGGCGTTCGGTACCTGTCAACACAAAAAGACGTTTAACACAATTCTGTGACGTTCTGTCATGGCGGCAGCTTCTCTCTTATGACTTCGTCATGACACGGGGACGGTTCAGTAGCTTCGCAGGATACGGGCTATCTCAGGCTATCTTCCACGTGCAAGGCATCCGCACTGTCTTCCTCTCCGCCCATCGCTCCTACACCGCCACCGTAGCCTATACTGGCATCGAGGGCTCTTATCTTGGCGTTCATCGAGAATGCTGCCAACCCAACGAACCTAGCTGAGGTGAGGGCGAACAACACTTGGTTCGCGGACCTGGACAAGAAGTACCGATGGAAGTGCAAAGTCTTCGATGCGACGAGCCAGTCTCCGAGTCTAAGGTTTGAAAATCCTAGAAGCGGAGAGCAAGAAGAACAGCAAGAAACTTAGTGCAGTGGCAGGACCTTTGCGATAGCAAAGGTCACCATATGTCGTCTTCCAACAAGCAATGGACTGACCATCTACAGATCTGAAGTCTTCGAATGGATCAAGAGCTGTCCAGATTTAGAAGATTCGAAGGCAGCCTGTCATAGATCGTTTCCAAGGACCGATTCATCTAACCAAGCGTAAGTGGCTCAAGAGCGGACTAAAGCACCTGACGATGGACGAAAGTAAATTCCGACCCTATCGTAGAGGATTTCGGGTTGCGCTCTTTTCAGATTACAGCGTGGAACTGTTTTATTTCCCTTGTTGTTTCATTCTACGGTCATTGTTGTCGAACGCTGCTTTGTATGGCACAGTAATTTGTGTTGACTGTTTCGGTAGGTAGTATGTGCATATCAACTGCTGCAGCACAAAATGTACAGCCCTCTTGTTAAAGGTATTAAAAAAGGATGAACTTTCTGCTAAGGTACGGATTGATGTAAAAAGCATTGTCCATGCTACCAGCTAATTTATTCGAATGACGCTCTGTATGGTTGTTGGCTTTTTGAGGAAGGAACCCCTGGATTTGCTCGGCCGCCTGTTCTCACAGGTCTTCTCTCGAGTTTCCATTGTCCCTTGCACCACATCTTCGACTCGGGAGCATCGCATCCTTTCCGGACAAACGTCTTCTTTACACCTCCTCCGTACGAAGCATTGTCAAAATGTGTGGTTGCTGGCCGTTCTCGGGTGCCCATTACGACAACGAAGACCCTCCACACGTTTATCGCTACGTCTGGGATGGCCAGAAATATGTCATGGAGATGGTGAGTATTCTTTTTCTTCATTCTTGGCGGTTTTTCATGCTATCTCTCCTGCTCCGGCCCCAAACATGTTTCGAAACCCGCGTCTGCAACCAAGTGTTTATCGCCCTTTTCTGCTGTCTCTGGCCCTTTCGCCTCCATTGGCCTGTGCAGCTTCACCAGAAGGACTGGACTGGACTGGAAGGCCAGCCGCAGAGACCTGATCCGCTTGAGATAAGTCAGGCTTCAATGAGCCTCAATGCGTCTGGGTGAAAGTGCTCAGGAATTATTGATGATGGACCTAATGGTTCCGCATTCTTCCTCCTCCCCAACACCCACTCTTTCAAGAAATCCCCTCTTGGTCCCATTCACCTTGGCTGGAGTTGAGGTAAACACCATCATCTCCTTCCCAATAAAGACATTCTTATTCCGGAATATTCTTCTCTTCGAATCTCGACTCTGCCAGGAAAGACCAAAACCACAAACCAACCTTCAGGAGACGACGAAAAAATTCAACTCCAGCATCAATACTCTCTAATACCACAAAAGTCGGCCACCAATATCGAATATGAAGTCTCCCAAGGTCAAGACTAGTGCCAACAACACTGGTGGGCCGCGCAAAGTTCAATTCAAGGAGAGCAACAACAATTCCGGTGGCTCCTTCCCCGTCACTCAGGGACCGGAGACCTCAACCGCTCCTGCCCCTGGCAACCACGAAGACGTCGAGGAGTCCAGCAACGTTTTCATCCACACCTCTACCAATCCTTCTGCCTCGGTTCATCAGTACCACCCAGGCTACAACCTCCCTCCTCCAACACCTTTCGGCCAGGTCCCTCAACCTGCTTACGGCCCTTTCATCCCCTCTACCGCGACTCATCCCGCCTTCACCGCCGAAGCAACATCTTTCGCGCCCTTTGGCAAATTCAATCCGTTCGGACTACAAGCTCCTGCCTACGTAAACATGGCCGACTACCAGAACGTCGCTCCGCCTCCCGGTGGCCTTCACTTCCAGCCGCCCGTCCCCGACACCACTTACGGCCCCATGCAGCACGTCTACGTGCCTCGCTTCGACAACGGCGCCCCTCCTCCCTCTTCTGGCTATGCCTACCATGTCGGTCTTCCTCAGCTCCAGGTTCTTCCATTTGCTCCTGTTCATATCGCGCCGAAGCCTGCCGCCATTTTTCTCAGCGCACCCCTCGTCATACATTACTATGCAAGTCACCAAAAGCTGCTCAGATGCCGGACTTCGTGTACTGCGAATGGAACCAAGTGGTTTTCTATCACCCGGTCTTTGATATTCCATCGCGAATCGGTCTTTTCTTGTTTCATCTCAGCTTCATATCGATTTGCAAGGACTGACGCTGACTCTCTGAATTATAGCAGCCGCCCCCCAACAACGTCACCTACATCGGCCAGGCCGCTCCCCCCAACCCGCCCATCATGATAGCTCAGCAGCCGGCCATGCAGCCTGGAATGGCGTATCAGACTCCGCCCATCATGCTTCAGGGCCATGCTCCTGTCGCCATGAACGGTCCTCCTGTTTTTCAGGGACATGCTCCCATGGGCATGGGCATGAACATGGGTCCCAACATGGGCGGTGGCGGCGTTCCCGCGTTTGCAGGTAATGCCGGTCTTCCTCCTGATGTCACTGGCTTCGGCAAGACGGCCGGTGAGGTCGCTATGGAGCAGGCGCAGTTCGCGTATGCGAACGGCCTCTTCGAGCCTCAGGACTTCAAGCCTGCTGATGACGACCCGTCTCGCTATTACCCTGTTCGAGAGGTTGACGGTAATTGGACTCAGCGCAATCGTTTCACTATTGACAACCTCGGCGACTGTCGCTGGTACGTCACCAACGAAGGCTACTTCTACGCCGTCCGCCTTCCCAACTAGGGCATCTGCTTGTTGTCGGTAAGAAGAGGCTCCCCGCGGCCACTCGTATCATTCTCTAACCCTGTGTATAGACATTCGGCATAGCCGATCACCGAGACTTGATTGGAGGGTGATGATTTCTACGAACTTGCTTGTAAGTATCGAAATGAGCACCGCTGAGTATGAGCAGTCACTGGAACTAACAGATGCCTCCGGACTTCTGGCATACCACCGCGGGCCTTCCTCTCTCACACCATTGACTTCCCCATGAGGATTTCTCAGCCCGACTTTTTCGACACAAGGTAATATCGTACGTCAAGAAAATTTCAGGGTATTATGCTCACTCTAATCCAGATATGCAACACCGTCAAAGCTTCGTAAGTAAAGATCGGTCGTTCGAGATGAGTGGCGGAAAGGATCGGGATATTGGATGATGATGGGGGAAGACTGGATGACACGGCTCTTTGTTATGATTATGGCACTTTGGGACAACATTCGTCTTGGACGTGACTCGCGGAGGGATTCGACCGGTAGCTCTCTTGGTAGTCAAGGCGTGGACTGGCATCTATCTCTACCCGTGTCATCTTTCGAGCACTCGATCGAGATCCAGCCCTCGCCAGAAACTTTACCTTAGAATCCATCGGAATTTCAAGATGAACATCGAGAATACTCTGCAAGTACACAGAATCGCAGCAAGTCGTGCGCATGATAGCATAGCAGGTTAACCAGCCTAATTGCCACCTTGATTTTGAAGTGTGGATAGTGAGGCCGAGAAACGCAAAACCAAGGTGAGTTAAATTTTGGAATCATCATATGTGTTAAAATGAATAGAAGGAGCTCGAAAAAGGGGGGGGGGGAGGGGGGGGAGGTCTAGGCAGGTGAAGGCACAACATGTGGTTCTT